ATGGCTGCTGAGCCTGCACGTCCGGAGCCTGTGCTCCGCAACGGGAGAGACCACAACAGTGAGAGGCCCGTGTACCGCAAAAAAAAAAAAAAAAAGCATTGCTGTGAGATAAGAATTGGATCCCTGCTGACAAAAATAAAAGGTGTGCATACATTTGTTATTCTCTATATGTACCCCAGTGGAGACTGCGCCACTGGGGACCCCAGCTTGTCTTAGGGACACACGGAGTGAACACGGCACACCTTCCATACCCAAGAGTGAATCCGCTGCCGGCCTACCTCCTCCACAGACGAACTCTCCCGCTCCTCCTCCTCTTCCTCCCGCTCCTCCTCCACCTTTTCCTTTTTCTCCTCCTCCTCTTCTTCAGGAACCATCATGTTTGCCTGGTTCGGGGGTGATTTTAAGGAGCTGTCTCCTTCAACCCGCATTTCTTCTAATCCCGGAATAGCGTCCTCTCGGGACTCATCCATCTCTTCACTCAGTACAGACTCTTCCTGTGGGCTCACCACCACCTCTGCAGTGGCTGGGGACTCGATTTCTTGATCCTCTGCTTCTTCTATCTCTTCCACTGGCCTGAGGGAACTCGTGCCCCTACTTAAGCTTTCCTCCCCTTTGCTCGCGTCTGCTTTAGGCCTTTGTTTTCCCCTCAGTTTTCTCCTTCTCTCCTGGAATTGCTTTTCATGTGGTTCTGTTGATGACCAAGCCCAAAGCCCAGGAAGAGACAGGTTACCAATGCAGCATGATTGGGCCTCCCCAGCCCCCAGATATACAAGCGTGGAGTCGCGGAGACTCAGACTTGAATTTTAAAAGTGTTACCTGGTGCCCTCAGTCGGAAAATGACTTCACCCTCCAAGTTCTACAAGGCAAAAACATGGACACTGAATGAGCAGAGTGCGACTTCTGAGGGCGTATCTTTTCTTTTAAGGAAAAGGCCCCGCCCCTCCCCTTCTACATCTGGTGCAGGCCTTGACCACTTATTTCACAGGGGTAATCAAGGTGTTCCCAATCAGTTTTCCTTAATCCCAAGCAGGCTAGCAAAGCTTTCATCACACGATGGCAATCACAGAATAAAATCTCATTCTGACACATTTTTAGTAGTGATCTGGATGGAGCAAAAAGCAAGAAAGTATAAATGGAGGGATGCAAACAAAGGGGCAGGAATCTGCTACACCCAGTGCTGGATGCAAACCTACAGAATGAACATGATTTACAAGATCTGGGAGCCCCCTCGTCAACACTACAAATTCCCTCTGTCACAGGCTGTGGGTGAAGTTGTGGATATAGTGTGCCATGGATAAGAGTGGATCTGAATTCCAGCTCCTCACAAGCTGGATGACCTTGGGCAAGCCCCTCAAACCCTAGGGGCTCAGTGTCCTCCCTGTGACACGGAGACCACAGTGGCACCTACACTTTAACCCAGGCAACCAGACTGATCTCAAAGGTAGTGAGCTTCCCCACCGACAGCTTGAGTTCCACCTCAAGCCAGGTGCCCCACGAAGCATTCACGAGCAATTGGGACAGGGATCCCTGCTCGGGGGAGGGATTCTCTGAGGAGTCAGGAACCCCACACCTATAGGAAACCCTCACCACGTTCAGTGTCAGCCACAAGTATCTTCAGCCCTGGCCGTGCAGGACTCTGGGTGCGTGTGTGGGAAAGAGCCAACTCTGGGAGAGTCAGACCAGGACACTCCGGGCATTCGTGCACTTACCAGGGAGCACTCAGTGTGTCTGAATTATGTGCAGGACACTGCTGAGGGCTGGACGAAAGTTAGGAGGGCACACCTGCCCCTCAGAAAACCCCTTCCAGTAGGATGCCCTGAACTCCTGCATTTGACAGCGACCAACGTACAAGCCCGTTCAGGGAAAGGAGAGGTGACCGGGTGAGGAAGGGGAGATGAGGGTCAGAGTGAGCGGCGGCGGGGGGGAATCTTGTCACTGGCAGTGGCTGGAAGTTCGGGTGGGTTTGGGGTGTGTGGAAACAGAAGGATCCCAGCAGAGGAGCAGGGTGAGGAAGGGCAGGGGGCAGTGGCAGATGCAGGAAGAGCGAGGAGTTTGCTGAAGCAGGGAGAGTCAGGGCGGGAACCAGATGCGGGGGGCCTCTGAGGTCATCTAGGGACTGTGGGCTGGGTTTGGTAGGGGCTGCAGAGCTGGTGAGGGCCTTTTGAGCAGGAGAGTGGGTACATCAGAGCTGTATTTTAGGAGGGTTATGCAGCAGTGGTGAGCTGGGTGAATGGAACTCAAAGAGTCACATAAATTAGCCTTTTAATTATAATTCCATTCAAGCCTGAGGCCTGGATTCTGAGCCCTTCAACCTCTTTTAGTCTGAGAAAGAGATGGTCTCTTTAGGAGACGCTTTCCACTTCTTATTTATAGCCATGCACTACTCTATGCTACTTCCCAGCAGAGATTGGTTTTAACCAAGACAAAGAGGTTAGGATGGTTTTTCTTGACCGCAATGGCTCAGAGATGCATCTCCTGTCTCCTGCTAGTTTTCGGAATATTCAATGTGCTTCTCTGGATGCTCCTGCCAGCCCCGAGGTATCCCCTGCACAGAGAAACTGGCAGGAGTTTCACTACTCCACGAGGGGGGGCTCCCCGTCGCTAAGGGCAACCCACCTCCTCCTGGGAAAGTGCGTGAGGGCGGGGCCAACGGAGCTCCCGCCCCTCTGCGTTGCCTTGGAGACCAAGTGTGTCTAGTTGCAGCTGAGGTTGGACTTGAGTGGTGCTTTGTGCTGGTGCAGGTGCGGGCACGGCCGGGTCCCTGGGCGCAGGGCCTCCCTCCAGTTTGCCCTGAGACTGCCCCTTCTCCTTGATGGGCTTGTGGGGCATATTTTTCTGATCATACGAAGAATACATACTCTTTGTAGAACATTTAGGAAACACACGTGAGAGAGTTCTCTGCATGTCGTAACTTGGGTTCCCACTTCCTGTCTACTGTACTAACCCTGTCCTTGAACTTTACCTATATTATCCCATCAAGCACTCCAAAACCCCAAGGCCCAGACTTTTATCTGTTCCCTAGGTAAGAAGACCAAGGTTCAGGGGGTTACTTATTTGCTTTAAAACGTACTTCTGAATCTAAGTACTGCAGTCAATTGGCAGTGCAGTTCCATTTCTGTGAATAGTCCTTACAGAATTAGCTGTACAAAGGCACAAAGGTACAAGATAGTTCACAGGGAACTGTTTTTAATATTGAGAGATTGGCACCAGTCTTAAAAAGCTAATTAGTTGGAGGATGGTTAATTCATTATGAAGCATCCATATTAATGAATGGATGGTCATTTAAAAATGAAAATATATCTGCAGTTATAGAACAATTCTTATTTTAAAAACACTGTATGTGTATATACATATCCACATTTATAAATGTCTATGTTCACAAAAAGGACGAGTTGGGCAGAAATTAGGAGAATTTCCTACATGTTTGTATTTGTTAACTTTTTTTTTCTTTAACAAAGCATGTATGTTTTAAAAGTTAAGAAGGTGGGGGGAGGGTCCATGCTCTTGACCTTTAAACTCCATGGCACAGAAACCTCCCTCCATAAACTTTCCTGATCAAAGTTCTCCCGGAAACCTTTTGTGTTGGCTGAGGGTAGAGCTGCAAAGAACCACAATGATCTCTGAAGTTGGAGACATCATTGGGTTGGGCTCCTAGGCAGGTACCTTCTGATCCTGAATATGAATTCCAGGCCATCCCCTTCTGGCATCTGGTCTGCCTACCTGCATTTCATATTCTTCAGAAAATCTTTGGCCTTTTCCAGGTGTAACTTCAGGGTATTCTCACAGCTTTGCTGCCTCAGTTGGTCCAAGAGCTTATCGAGGTGAGCCTCCTGGGCCTGGTAGCCACACCCCAAACAGAAGGAAGCAGATGTGAGTTACCAGAGCTCGACGAGTGTACGTGACACGCAGAGACCCTGCCCCTGGAGCTGAGGTCCAGGTGCCCCGGGCAGGCTCTGTTCTACAAAAGGGGCACCAAAAGTACCACCATCCTTACTCTCACTGGTCTGGGCCTTTGGTCTCTTTTCCCTGCCTGGAATGTTCTTCTCTGTCTACATTATAGCCCTGGAGACCCTGCCTAGATGGGACTCCTCAGGGACATGTCCCTCACCCCCAGCCCACCCGGGCAGGCCCCCGCTACACCTTCCGGAGGCACCTACTCCTTGCTCTCCTTCTCACCTGTTGTGCTTGACGTCAGATGCTGAGTGCACCCCTCCACCCCTAGACTGTGTGAAGGCAGATGGGTGGGGGCCAGCTCATGTCCTGTGGGGACAGGATGACTGCCAGAGGTAGATGCTCCATGCCCCCCAGTCTGTCTGTCTCTCACGCAGACCCCCTCACAGACATGTCTGGATCCGGCACCCATCGCACAACCCGGACCTGACTCTGGCAGGATTCTTCTGCTCCCATGCAGCCCCGTGACCAAGGTGAGCCTCAGTTTCCTATCTGCTCAAGTTTTATAGCTTGAGGTTTTACATTTGAGTCTAAGATACATTTGGGGTTAATTTTTCTATAAAAATAAAATACATAAAATACGGTGTGAAGTATGGATTGAACTTTGCTTTGCATCTGAACGCTGGCCGAGTTCACGGGCCACCAAGCAGAGCCACTGGGCAGCTGACAGTCCGGGTGTGGCCCTGCACTCATGCCTCGTGGGGGCTACCTGGATGCCGGGCCCACACCTGGCTCTCGCGGCTGTGCGTCTGCCGCTGCTGCTCCATCCTCTTCTCGAGCCCCAGCTCCTGCATCAACAGCATGCTCCGATGTACCTCCCACAGCTGCACAGCCTCCTGGAAATAGCTGAAGAGATCTGAGCTCTGCCGCTCTGTCTGCTTCGCCACAGCCTCGAAGGATTTCTGCGGTGGCAGAACCCAGAGAAGGGGCCTTAAGTGCCAATCGGCCCAGGCTGAGGAGAAGAGCCCCACTCACGGGGCTCCCTCGCCGGCCAGTGGAGGCCCACGTCACTGGCCATCACTGCCTGGGCACCATCCCTCAAGGTTTTCTTCTGTGCCACATCGTGGCTCACGGTCCCCTCTCTGCTGGAACAGCATTTCTGGTCTGTCCAAGGCCATGCCCTCGGACTGGTTGACCTGAAGTCCCATCTCTAGACCTGCCCCGTGTCCACTGAAGTCCCTGACAGGAAGAAGATGGAGTTTGGGGCCTACAAAGAAGAAGGTGCCACCCTAGACACCAGCCTGGCATCAGGTAGGCCATACCCACCTTGGCCTGGGGCATCCCTCCTTCTTTGGATTCCCTGACTCAGCACCTGAGCCAAATACCACAGTCTACTGTTAAATCCTCACCTCTCCCTCTTTCATGTGTGTCTCTTATGCTCTCCTAGGGTCTGGGGTTGGCAAACTGTGGCCCGTGAGCTAAATATAGCCCCCTGCCTATTTCTGTTTAACCTTGGGAGCTAAGCACAGATTTTGCATTTTTTAATGGCTGAAGAAAACCTAAGGAAGATATTTAATGATGTAAAAACTATGTGAAATTCAAATTTCAGTGTCCATAAATAAAGTTTTATTGAAACACAGCCATACCCATTCATTCTGCATTGCATAGGGCTGCTTCTGTGTGACCGCAGCAGAGCGAGAATTTGTGCCAGAAACCTGACAGCCCACAGAGCCTAAAATATTTACTATCTGGCCCTTCACAGAAAACGTTTGCTGACCCCTGCTCTAGACTCTAAGCATCATGGGATGCAGGCTTACTCCTCCTCGTGACCTTCAGTACCCAGACTCGGCAAGGGCTCGGGGAGCACTCACTGCCCGAGACTGTTCAATCAGAGTCCGCAGTGACTGAGGCATCAAGGGGTGAGCCTGGAGCACCCAGCATAGGGGCACTGCTCCGAGGGGCTGCACGCACCAGTGACGGCAAAGTTGTAAGCCCCCGGCCTCCCACTCCTCTCACAGCGCAGCACGCCGGGTGCCCCCCACCCTGCTCAGGTCCCCAGTTACGCACATCCAAGGCCTCCAGCTCCTCCTCCGCCTTGCTCTGCAGATCTCCCACCATCTGGATGAAGGACGGGCTCACCAGGCTCTCTGCTTCCTCCTCTGTGAAGGCCTTCCAGTCCAGCAGCTGCTTCTGGACAGGTACAAGGCAGAGCCCAGCTTAGGGCTGATGGGGGCTTCACCTCAGGGCTGGTGCTGCCCCTGCGATCGCCTCCCAGCCATGCCCGAGAACTCGGCGGAAACTCCCACAGCAGTGGACACGGTCCAGCTTTATCTGCCCACTGTGTCCAGGTGCTATGTGCTGCCCCTGCTCACTGAATCCCCCAGAGGTGTTCTCATTAGCCCCATTTGGCAGATAGGAAACTAAAGCTCACAGAAGTGAAGGAACTTGCTGGAGGTCACACACCTGGCAAGTGGTGGAACTGGGATCTGAACTCAGAACTGTCCTACTGCACATCCTACAGGCATGAACCGCCATCCTACACAGGCTCAGCGTTGCTGTAAGCCAGACATGGCTCCCATTTCCTGTCTGGAATTACGCCAACTGGAAAGCCAGCTCTCTATATTAATAAAGACTTGATTTCTGTACAAAATCTAGAATAAATCAACCTCCCCCAAATTAAAAACGTGTCTCCAGTGGTATACTTCCAATGCCGCTGCCCAGGAACACCAGGTGCCCCCCGTCAGGCTCAGAGTGCTCTTGGGGTACATGAGGACGTCAGCATTCACCCACTGCATGCACCCAACCAGGGGCCATGAGCATGGGTACAAGGCATCAGCACTTGTGGGGCTCTGGGGAGGGCGTGAGTGACGAGGTAGTGAGTGCTGGGGGTGTGGTCTTGGGGAGGCTCTCCAAGGGCACAAGGTTGCCCTCCAGGCTTTACTCCTAAAGTCTGACGCCCCTAAAGGGCTGACTGAGAGGCACATGACTGCCCCTAAGGCCACAGAGCAAGTGGGCAGAGAGCCCTGTGGGCTCCGACAGCCCCTGGGCCTTTTGCAAACTGGTCTTCTCACCTCCAGATGGGGCCAGCGACACCCACTCTGCAGGGCCTTGTAGGATTTGATGAGAGTGGGTGCAAGAGTGTGGCGCAGCCCCCAGAGACCACAGTGTCTGCACCGTGCATCGCACTGGAGAGCGCTCTGCTCCCCTGAACTCTGCTCACTTCAGAGTCTTGGTGGCAGAGCCAAAGCTCGACAGACACACACATGAGGGGTGGATGGAGGAACAGGCGCTTCTTGGGGCCCACAGGTGAGACCCTCATGGCTTGGGGACTCCTACCGCCGGAGCCGGCAGGTTACACCATCTTCAAAATGATTAGGCTTTTGGGGGTTTTTCATCTAAACAGTTTTCCCAAGGAGGCAGGGAGGGGGCATTCTGACACAGTATGTCCTTGCACCTCAGAAAACCAGGCATTGTAATTGAAGGGGGTTGTGAGAGGACTCGCTGTCTCACCCTCTAACAGAGGTGGGCGGGTGGAGTGAAGTTGTGTGTGATGCCAGTGGCAACACGATCTACAAAAGGGAAGCATTGGAAATAACTCCCATGACATGACCTCCACTGAATAAATAAAGTGAAGTGATACAGAGGGTCAAGGGTGAAGGCTGAGGTGATCAGAGGCGGAAACTTTGTCCGTGGGGTCAGGGAAGGCTTCCTGGAGGAGGTCATGTTGGGGGCCACTGAGGGGTGGGCGGGAACAGCTGGGAAGAAGAGGGTCCAGGCTGAGGGAGCAGCTTCAGAATGCCCAGAGGCCAGCGCAGAGCGAAAGCAGGGGGTGCGGGCTGGAGAGGGGCAGGGGCATGCCCTGTGCTCCTCTCCTCAGACGGGCCAGGAGGGGCACCCACCTTGCACTTCTGCACTTGGGCCAGGCACTCCCGCCAGGTCTTCTCATACTGCAGGCGGATCCGCATCATGCAGTCCACGTGGTAGGCGTCTCCATAGGTGGAAAAAAGAGGTCAGCAGTTCTTCCAGAAGAAGAGGGGAGGTTGGCAAGAGGAGTTTCCCCGTCGTTCAGGGAAGAGGCTTCTCCCCAGCCAAGCTCCTCAATAGCGGGGATAATTTAGATCAGGGGCTGCTACCTCCCTCGCCTCAAAGTTCCTGACACCCCAAGATAAGGACCTCAAATAAGGAGCCACCTTTTTCTGTTCTGACCCTAATTCTTGACTCAGTTTCGAGGCTGCTGAAATTCTTTTGGGGGAGTTGCACCATGCCACAAAACAGTAACCAGGTGCAGATTAAGGAGCGTTTACAGATCATGTCTGTGGTGAACCCCTTAAGAAGTGAATGGACCAGCAGAACATTCCAAAGCTGATGGACTGACTGACTGATTGACCTTCTCCTCTTCCTCCGCCCTACTGTTTCTGGTTTATAGTCACCTCGGTGTATCTCTTGGTGTCTAAGATAAGGAACTGAAGTTTAATGTTCCTGGCAGTTCTAGAAACTGAAAGATAACACAAAGATTGTGTGGTGGTTGTTTCTTGATAAGGGCTGGGAGGAGGGCAGGCTGGATGGCAGTTAGAACACTGGGGAGGGGAGGGCTTCCCTGGTGGCGCAGTGGTTGAGAGTCCACATGCCGATGCAGGGAACACAGGTTCGTGCCCCGGTCCGGGAGGATCCCACGTGCCGCGGAGCAGCTGGGCCCGTGAGC